CAAAAAAAAAAAAAAAAAAAAAAAAAAGAAATCTAAGAAGACGCAAACAAATGGAAAAATACTCCATGCTCATGGATAGGAAGAATCAACATTGTTAAGATGTCCATCTACAGATTCAATGCAATACCCATTAAATTACCAACATCATTCTTCTCAGACCTGGAAATGACAATACAGAAATTCACACGGAAACATAAACAACCACCAATAGCCAAACAATCCTTAGCAAAAGAAACAAAGCAGGAGGTATCACACCTTCAGATTTCAAACTTTACTATAAGTCTACAGTAATCAAAACAGCCTGGTATTGGTATAACAAGGGGCATACAGACCAATGGAACAGGATAGAGATTATGGAAGCAAAGTCTCAATTTCTCAACCAACTCATCTTTGACAAAGCCTCCAACAACCACTGGGGAGAAGAGAACCTATTCAGTAAATGGTGTTGGGAATACTGGCTGATCACATACAGAAGATTGAAACAGGATCCCTACCTATCACCATACACAAAAATTAACTTCTAAATGGATCAAAGACCTACACGTAAAACCTCAAACTATAAGAATCTTAGAAAACGCAAGAGACACTCTTATGGAAATTGGAACTGGCAACCAATTCCTGATCAGAACCCTAAGTGCCCATACCATAAGAAATAAGATAGATAAGTGGGACCTTATCAAACTGACAAGCTTCTGCAAAGCAAAAGAAACCATCAAGAGAGCAGGGAGACACACCACAGAATGGGAAAAAATATTTGCCAACTGTATATCCGACAAAGGTCTAACATCTAGGATCTGCAAGGAACTCAAACATGCCAAAAGGAAAAAAACCAAAATCCCCATTAAAAATGGGCAAAAGACATGAATAGACACTTCTCAAAAGAAGATATATGAGCAGCCAACAGACACATGAAAAACTGCTCAGCCTCACTCATTATCAAAGAAATGCAAATCAAACCCACAGTGAGATACCACCTAACCCCAGTAAGAATGGCCAACATTAATAAAACAAACAACAACAGATGCTGGCAAGGATGTGGAGAAAAAGGAACACTTTTACACTGCTGGTGGGAATACAAACTAGTGCAACCTCTTTGAAAGACAGTGTGGCGATTTCTGAAACAACTAGAAATTGAACTTCCATATGACCCAGAAATTCCTACTGGGAATATACCCGGAGGAACTCAAATCATTCTACAAAAAAGATACCTGCACACTTATGTTTGTTGCAGCTCTATTCACAATAGCAAAAACATGGAACCAACCATGCTGCCCATTGAAGCTGGACTGGATTTTAAAAAATGCAGTACATGTACACAATGGAATATTACGCAGCCATAAAGAAGGACAAACATATGGACTTCGCAGCAACTTGGATGGATTTAGAGTCGATCATACTCAGTGATCACAGAAACAAAGAACAGAGTACAGAACAATTATCATAATACTATAAGAAAGGGATTGGCAGTAGCAGGAAACTGCCAGGGGAGGAGGGGTAGGATTGGCAGTTGAAGGAAATTGCTGGGGGGGGAGGAACACACCTCATCAACAAGGGTACCTGCATAATCACCGTTTATATACCTAACCCTGAATTGGCTCCCACATCTTTAAAATAAAATAAATAAAAATTTTAAAAGCATTATTTATGTTTTTCAGTTCCTAAATTCCAGAGAAACAGCTGAAACCAACCAGTCTGAAGGACCCTCACAGAGGAATGGGATCAGCATAAAAATGCTGTTTCTAGCCGGGCTCGGTGGCTCAGCCTGTAATCCTGCGCCTTTGGGAGGTTGAGGTGAGTGGATTGCCTGAGCCCGCAGGTTCAAGACCCGCCTGGGCAGCGAGACCTCATCTCTACAATAAATCAAAATATCAGGCAGGCGTGGTAGCGCATACCTGTAATTCCGGCTAATCGGAAGGCTGAGGCGGAAGAATCGCCGGAGCCCAGCAGGTCGAGGCTGCGGTGGTCGGAAGCGGCCACTGCACTCCAGTGTGGGCGAGAGTGAGACTCCAACTCAAAAAAAAAAAAGAAAATGCTGTTTCTTCCTCTCCCTGTCCCATGACTTCACCCCATATTCTTTGACCAATCAACAACCTCCACGCTTCGGCCAACTCCAAAACCCTATTCCTAAACTCCTTGGGGAGATGCATTTGAGGTTCCGTCTATACTTCGGCCCACTCCAGAACTCTTTCCCAAAAATCCCTGGGGAGATGCATTTGAGGTTCCCTCCTATCTCCTCACTCAGCAGCCCCACTTTTAAACATTTTTCTCTGCAGCAACGCAGCATCTCAGAGTATTGGATTTACCATGCATATTGGGCAATGGACTTATTGTGACTATAGAGACATCAAGAGTAGGGAAATTCTTGCTAAACCAGCCTAGTAGGAGTCTAATACTTTGAACTTATCCCATAGACATACAAATGCAGGCTAAGATATGTGTAAGGATTGTCACCATACCATTGTTAACAATAGGATCTATAAGTCCACCAAAAAGGGATTGGTGAAATAAATTAAGGTACTACTTAAAGTGAAATAATATGTGACTGAAAAAAGAATGAAGTCTATATGTGCTGATACAAAAAGAGATGCAAAATACCTTAAATCAAAATGGAAGGTGCAAAACAATATTAGAGTACACTCCCATTACAAATGTTAAAAATGGGAGACAGATGGTACAATACGTACAAAATTTCTTCTGAAAAGACACAAAATAAACTTAATAGTGGTCAACTTTAGGGAGAGGCACTAGGAAACAGTTGCAGAAGGGAAACTTTTATTTTCCATTTCATACTTTTCTATACGTTTGTTTGATGGGAGTTAGTCCATCATTACTGAAGGTGAAACCTCTTTCTACATTATTTCAATTTCTTACTCTAAGCATAAATTACATACACATATACAAAATATAGATAAATATAAATAAATCATAGGACAAAGAAGGAAGAGATTTTCTGAATTGGCTTTGACATTGATTTTATGTTGCTGGACTATTTAGTTATCTTTCATGCTTTCAGTAGTTTAACCCATACCTTTGAGTGTTCTGAAAGGAAATCTGCAAGGAGATAGACTTGCGCCAGTAGCTCTGTGTAGTCACGACAACGGAAATAATAAATATGGGAAAGAATATTTTCAAGAGTAAAATCCTCCAAAGCTTTTTGGTATTCTGAAAACAAACAACAAAACAATCTTAAAATAATTAGTCTTACCTGTTTGGATATGCTGGTGATTGTAGGGAAACAATGCTTTTTAATAACAAAATGCTATACTCTGTATAACAAAACTCTTCACTTTAATTGAAAGTTAACAAAATTATAGCAAAATTACCATAAATCATAATTTCATAATTCCTGACCTATTATTTTCACCTTTTCCACTGTTGCCTTACATACTAGATTATCTAAAATTGTTTATACACACTTATATATACACACATATGCTTTTTCATAATTCTAGTTATTGGTTTCCACTAATAGAAGTAATATAAAGTTACTCTCTTGTTTTTTTCATAAGACTACAGACTAAAAGTTAACAGAAAAAAATGTTCAGTTGAAGCTTTTTCCCCCCCTTGAATGCCATAGTATAATTTAGTTCTTAAATAGAAACAATGGGCCAGGAGCGGTGACTCATGCCTGTAATCCTCGCACTTTGGAAGGCCAAGGCAAGAAGATAACTTGAGCCTAGGAGTTCAAGATCAGACTAGGCAACAAAGTGAGATCTTGTCTCTATTAAAAAAAAAATTAGCTACATATGCTGGCGCATGCCTGTAGTCCCAGCTACCGGGGAGGCTGAGGTGAAAGAATCGCATGAGCCTAAGAGGTCAAGGCTGCAGTGAGCTGTGATTGTGCCACTGTACTCCAGCCTGGGTGACAGAGTGAGACACACACACACACACACACACACACACACACACACACACACACACAGAGAGAGAGAGAGAGAGAGAGAGAGAGAGAGAGAGAGAGAGAGAGAGAGAGAGAGAAGAAACAATGATTTAAAATTCTCCTTAGATTGGATTTTTTTTTTTTACAAAACGAGTTTGGGCCAGGTGTGGTGGCTCATACCTACAATCCTAGCACTTAGGGAGGCCAAGGTGGGAGGATCGTCACTAAGGCCAGGAGTTAGAGATCAGCTTGGGCAACAAAGCGAGACTCTATCTCTACAAAAAATTTAAAAATTAGCTGGGCATAGTGTTGCACCTATAACCTAGCTTCTCAAGAGGCTGAGGCAAGAAGATTGCTTGAGCTCAGAAGTTCAAGGTTACAGTGAGCTATGATCACACCACTGCCCTCCAGCCTAGATGACAGAGCAAACCCCAATCTCTAAACAAACAAACAAAAGCAACTGGGCCTTGTACATACTTTAGACAGAAATCAATTAATCATTTCATTTTAAAATGCATCTAAATTTCAACATTAGAAAACATTGCTGGCTGGGCACAGTATCTCACGCCTATAATCTCAGCATTTTTGGAGGCCAAGGTGGGAGGATCATTTGAGATCAGGAGTTTGAGACCAGACTGGACAACATAGCAACACCTTGTATTTACAAAAAATAACCAGCTGGATGTGGTGGCAGGTGACGATAGTCCTAGCTACTCAAGAGGCTGAGGTAGGAGGATTATTTGAGCTTAGGAGTTCAAGGCTATAATGACCCATAATCGCACCACTGTACTCCAGCCTAGACAAAACAGCAAGACTCTGTCTCAAAAAACAAATACATAAATAAAATAAGAAATAAATTAAAAAGTCAAATTTTAGCAGGGCTCAGTGGCTCAGCCTGTAATACCGCGCCTTTGGGAGGCTGAGGTAAGTGGATTGCCTGAGCCTGCGGGTTCGAGACCCGCCT